TCAGTTACTCCCCCACCTTCAAAACCCAGGGCCAGACCTGTCATTAAGGCTGTTATTTCTGGCAGCAAACTCACTGCCTTTCCTATCTTTATGAGACAGGTTATTTCCTTACCTTATTGTGCCTTCTAGCATCAATCCCCCTTTACTGGACTGGTATGACTGTGATGAGGCCAGGCACTTCAACTCACAATGGCAATTGGGACCAGAATTTCCATTGCTAAACCAAGTAGTCATAAAACGTGACTGCATCACTTAGTGACAGCAATGCTGCAATCATGGTTGCCTTTATTAACCGAATCCCATGGTCATTAGACAGGACAAAAAAGTGTGACCACATTATTTAGTTACAGCAATCCCTATAGTCCTGGTTGCCGTGAATCCCGTGGCTGTTAGATGAGGCAACTTCCAGCTGTCTTATCACAACCAGGTTAATGTCTAGGCTAGGGTATGGAGATCTTGGAGGGTGTATGAGGGCGCGAGGGATGTGCAGCAAGGGTCGAGGGTGTGCAAGGGTGCATGGGAGTGTGAGGGAGGTGCAGTGAGATTTAGGGAAGGTCCTCATGGATACAGAGATGGGAGGGAGGTTTGGGGAGGGTGTGCAGGGTACACAATGGTGCGAAGGTACACAAGGGTGTCAGGGAGGCATGACGAGAGTCCGAGAGGGTGCATGGGGGAGACTTACCCCAGTGACTTTCAACCCTTCTCCCTGCCAGCTTCCCCACTGACTTTCTGGTGAAGCCAGCAGGGAAAGTCCCAAATGGCGATCATGTGATCATGGAGTGCTGCAACTGGTTGTGTAAGTGCAAGTTAGTGCCAAGTGTCCAGATCATGATTATGTCACCATCAGGTTGCTGGGACATCCAGAACTCCAAGTGCAGGTCATAACACCATTCACTCAGCACCATTGTAACTTCAAACAGTTGCTGAATGAATGGTCATAAGTCAAAGACTATTTGTACTGCCTTAAAGATGCTATAAATCTTTAATGAGAAAGAGTAGCTGCTTACTTCTTGCTTTTCTGGCCTTGCTGGCAGAAAGTGCTGGCTGAACAGCCAACATATTCCAGATGGCATAGTGCAGCAGCCTGAATCGCTCTGCTTTTAAGGTGCATTGGTGCTCTCACTGCTGTGCTGCATCAATTGTTTGGATGAGAAACAAGAAGCATGAAAGAAGTGATGGGTGAGCAATTTCAAGGGGTTGAAGGATAGATCAATGTGTGCCATGTGGTTCATGTCCCTACTTAGAGCCAGTCTAAGACAGTTTCCTTTCCCTCCCAAGTCAAGGTGAATATAAGTCAAAACTGGTTTTGATACTTCAGACCAGTGGGTTTTTTAACCTTGGCAATATGTGGACTTCAACTCCCAGAATTCATGGCCAGTTGAAGCATTTTAAAAATGCTGCCTCAGATAAAAGATTCCACCATCAGTTCTCCTTGAATAATAATATATTCAGTATCGCAAATTGCTTCCTTTTCATAGTCTTCTATAAAACACTTGAAGCTATCAATATTATTTAGACATTCAACTGGGCTTGTTTCCATATAGATAAAGTTGGAATGTCACTTAAAAATTGTGTTTCTGTTCTGATTTGTACTGGTTTTCTCATGCAATGGAAGATCCCAGACTACGTCTATTTCTCCTCTGCCCTAATTCTGTAGCTGTGAAATTGTTCAGCATCTTGCCTTACTTGCAAATGGAGGAAAAGCTGTTTCCTCTGGCCTAAGCCCACAAATTATGTTCCAAAGCTTGGGTGGAAGAAAGATATTCTCTGATATAAAAAAGACAGAAAAAACAAAAGGAGAAGGGTAGCAACAGAAGCATATTATATGATGCAAAGAAAATCTTCCATCCTAATCTGTAAACGTATTATTAATCCTTGACCACATGAAATAATATTTATCAATATTTTCATTTATATCAATAGCTCATAATCAAAAAGTAAACATTTATCCATGATCCGAGGAGATATATTTGGGGTTGCATTTTTTAAATGTAACAGCCTCCTTAGAATGCAATTGCAGAGTTTAAGTCAGCGGTTCTCAACCTATGGGCCGCGACCCCATTTGGGGTCAATCGACCATTTCACGGGGTCGCCAAGCAAGGCTGTCCGCCATTTTTCTCCCCTTTTCCGGCGGGTGCCTTACCTCCCTTGGGCTGGGCCAGCTGGTGGTCGGCCTGCTCCGTCTCTGCTGCTTGCCAGCTACGCCTTGGCCGGCGCAGGGGGCGGAACCGCGCATGCACAGCGCTCCCGGGCAGGGAAAGTCCTCGACTTACGACCGGTTTAGTCCTCGACTTACGATCGGTTGGGGGTCGCGGCATTAAAAAGGTTGAGAACCACTGGTTTAAGTGAAGTCACTAACGAGGCCTTCTTTGTAGCCTGCTGGAACAGGTGGCAGCCAAAGCCAAGAGAGCCTTCAGCCAGCTATAACAGGTCCACTATTGCACCTATTCCTGCACCAAGAGGCACTGAAAATAGCGACTCATGCCTTTGTCAACTCTCAGTTGGATTGTTGTCCTTCATTCTATGTGGGACTGCCCTTAGCATACTGTAGCTGCTTGCTTGCTGATTGGTGCTAGCCAGTTCAGCAACATACCTATTGTATGAGCTACACTGGTTGTCACTAGGGCTTCCTGACTGAATTCAAGGTGCTGGTTGTCACCTAAAAACACTGAATGGCTTGGGCTCTTGTTATTTTTTAGATTGTTTTTTTCTAAATAAAATCTGCCTGGAACAGCTTGTATCTATGTCAGCCCTAGATACAGCAGACCAGGAAATCAGCTCCATAGGAAAGCTAATACTATTTTTATCCAGAATGGCTATAATAAAATCTTGCAAGTCTCATCATGCTGTACCTCCCCATTCTTCTTAATCTGTAGTGAATGTGGAAGGTGTTTAAATTGCTTCCAAATGTTACCAGGAAGCCTTTTTTGCCTAGGCAATAGAGACTATATATCTCTATCGAAGTCATCTTTCTTACTCTCTACAGCACAGGTGTTAAACTCACCGTGTCACGTGACATGTTGCGATGTATCACGACTTTTTTTGCATTGCTTGAGCTGGGGTGGGCGCAGCCTCTGTATGATACAACTGGCCCGCGGGCCGGCAATTTGACACCTCTGCTCTACAGGCTAGCCACTACCCTTTTATCCTTTAGGTAGTAGTCAAAACTACGTCTTCCCCAAGGCATTTGGGGGTATGTAAGTTTTTAATGGAAGACAGCAACAGACTTTAAAAAGTTTAATATTTTATAACTTTATGGATGTAATAAGTAAATATAGGCACTGCAATCCTGTACACATTTTCCTAGGAATAACACTAAATTCAATGCAAAATCATATTAATGATTACCTTTGGCTTCTACTAAACACCCCTTATGGCAGTGTTTCTCAACCTTGACAATTTTAAGGCACGTGGACTTCAACTCCCAGAATTCCACAGCCAGCAATGCTGGCTGTGGAATTCTGGGAGTTGAAGTCCACGTGCCTTAAAATTGTCAAGGTTGAGAAACACTGCCTTATGGCTTGTAAAATATAAGCATCTTGTGTGTTTCTTTTAAATTGTATGTTATTTTAAATTAACTCCCATCAATGGACAGCATTTTGAACTTAGGAAATCAGTTGTAAAGGGGAGTTTTTCTTTGTGTTAGGACTATATTTTTTTACTTCCCCATTCTTGCTTTGCAAAGATTTTGCCAAGACAAGCATAAATGTATTTTGTGAGAAATGCTATTTGAATGCCTTTCTTGTTCCCAAGATTACAGTGCCTTGTATATAAACTAGTAGTTCGAGCCAAGGAGACTCCCACACAATTGCTTCACAAGCTGTAATTCTGTAATCATATATGCAGGAACCACTCTTGCTACAGTGTGTGCAAAGCTGTATATATAGTGTGCCTCAGGGCAAATTAAGCCAGAAACAACTGCCATGCATTTTTACAAAATGACTGATATCATTTGAAAACACTAAGTTTACTTGCCTAGATTTTCTTTTTCTACACACACATACACACAAATATATAGTAATACATATGGTATGTTATATTCTTAAATAAATGAACCAAGTTACATTTTCTTAAGAAAGGCTCCTTTAATAAATTAGGGGTCTGTGAACCACAACTGTCCAATTTAAACTCAGTTAACAGGATTATATGCAGATTCCCGGTGACACAAGATTCCAACCATGATTTTCTGAGCCAATGAAACAGAGAATCTGTGCTGAGTGGTGTTCAGCAAAACTCCCTAAACTTAACATGTTGTCTAAAGACAATGCCGTAAACTAGTGAGCTGGCAATTTACAGTATCTGAAAGGATGGAATTTGGGTGAGGTCCCATCCTGCTGTCAAAATTCAACATCTTGGAGCAAACTATGAAACCATTTGTGCTTGATGTGGCTTTTTTTTTACTTTTCCACTGCCCTAAAGGACTTAATTTGCCTTGAGATTCTCTCTCTCTCTCTCTCTCTCCCCACACACACACACACACAGGGGGTGGAACATATATAAAAAAACTTCAATACCCTCCCTCAAGAGTGGTTCCTGCATATACGATTACAGAGTTATAGCTTCCCAGAATGAGAATGTCCTTCACTTGTATTATTACTTTATATACCAAGCACTGCAATCTGAAGAACTAAAAAGACATTCAAACATAGCACAGCATATCTCACAACATATATTTGGCCATGTGCTGACAAAATCTTTGAAAATAAATAATGGGGAAATGAAAAAGAAAAGTAAATGTTCAGCCACACTGCCATAGTTCCTGATATTCACCCTTCTGTCACAAAATCCAAGTCTAACTCTAAGCTGTTCCCTATCAACCTGCTTAATACACATTATGGTGAAGAGTAGATACATAGTTGAGCATGTATTTTTTTTCTTGGTTTATTTCTATCACAAAACCCTGTGAAATATAATTGGATATGAGTGCAAGAAAATCTTCATTAACCACTTTATATTACCTTCAAGCTGTGGCCTTTCCCGGCTTAAATGGCAAGTTTATGAGGTGAAAGAAATGAATTGCTTGCTGTAAAGGAAGGAACATAGATACTATATAATAAGGATGAAAATCTATCTTCAAATGCAATTATTTTAGAGATACAATTTTAGTAACTTGCTTTATTTGTTAGTACTGAAGAGTCTGAAGTATAACAAAATGATACATAATAGGATGGTTTTTTCTACATAACTTATTTATAGCATAAATATAAATCAATGCTGAATCTATGTTCAATAAGGTAGCCTAAACACCTCCTGGTACCTTCAGGGTGCATTGGGACTATACCTTTCATAATCCAACAACCACACTTAGAAAGACTACAAAAGTTATATAACTATTAGACCACAAAACTATTGATTCTGTGGGAGAAACTAGGAATTATTCCAGTTTCAGTCCAGTTCATAGAATTGAAAGAATAACTGTGTAGTTAAGTAATGAGCATCCTATCCATGTGTACACTGGAGATAATTTCTAATTTTGCCACTAAGTGTATAAGCATAAAAGCAACATTATGTTAAAAATTAAACAAATGTGAGTTTTGGGGAGATGAAAGACTGTTTCTCCAACAACTGGTTCAACTTCCTGTCCCTATGAAGAAAAAAATAGGAGAAAATAAATTACTTAAAAAGGGAAGAAAAATCACAAGTAATCTGGTGTAAACATAGCTAAATTACTTAAAAAAGTGACATCATTTTTAAAGTAAAATAAGAGCAAATAATCAAGCAGGAGTAGCAATTGTAGCACAATCAAATCAGGTTCATGGTATATTGCATTTTTAAAACAGAAGTAACATTAAGAAGATGTATTGTTATTTGTGCAGCCAATATAAACAACTCCTGGGAGAAAGAGCTCCTCCACGTGCTTTGTGGAAAAATTACAAGAACACATGTTCCATTAATTTGGCATCCTCTGTATCATCTGCTGGAATTTCAAACACTCCTTCTAGGCTAGCAAGGACAGAGATGATAAGTTTGTATAAATTTTCTTTTTTGACACTGAGGCATATTTCAGCTATCTCCTTCCATCCTTCTATATTGCAGGTATCGTTCACAATCATTTGCTCCAATGTATCTACAAATATATTGAGAAAGAAAATAGACAAAAGATTATTTTGTTGCTTTTTGTCTCTGAATCACTAACTGTTAAAAATGCTTACAATTTTGGTATGATTCTAAATTACAGCAAGCATTCAGCAGGTGTCACTGTCAAGAATATGTTTAAAGTAGATACAATTTAATTTGAAAGGGAACTCGTCCAACTTTGGAATTGTGATTGAAGCATGAGAAAAATCTAATTCTTTCCACTCTCCATTTTCTAATTAAAATCTCTCCCCTGCATTTTATCTGGTCAGATAATTGCAAGCAAATGTAGAGATCATATGGCACAGCCTTGAAGGGCAGGAGGAAAAGAGCTACCTTGACAACAGTCAGATAAGACTATGGTTTTGTTTGAATTACAGGATTTATCCTTTTTATAAAGGGGAGGGGGATGTCAACGCTGTAACATTGGATGTTCCTGCTCTGACAACTGATGGAAACTGCAGCCATTTTTACTTTGCTTTTAACATGCTTTTTCTTCTATTTAGATGTTGAAGGGGAGGGATGGGGTAAATGCTTGAGCTCAGTTAGCCATAATAACAATGCAGCTCCGTGGGATCCTCAAGGACACAAACTGATAACGTTTTGGTGGGCTGAGAAGCTGGGAAGAGAGCCTGCACTCCTGGCGAATTGGAGAATGTGATTTATGACTGCTTTGTGGGGGTGGGACTTGCATTCTGTTACTTTGTATCTGGGGGAAGGGAATCTAGTTTTGGGTTCAACTATGTAGTGCTGATACTTTATTTCCTGAATAAAATGTTCTTTGAGGAAGAATTCCTGCCTTGAAGTTCTTTTGATGGGTTTCATCTATTGGAACCATGACAAGGGGACTGAGTCCAGGCCAACAAAATATGAGAATATTGAGAAAACATCTCAGACAAGCTCCTTCCTAGTTTAAACAAAGATAAAGGGAAGGACGGGGAAGCACATTCAGACTTGCAAGATTCTGTTACTATACCTGTTACAATAAAAGTAGTTTCTTAGGCTGGTTTACTTTCTAGGGTTGCCACATTCCCACTGGAAAAAGTCAAGCTATACTCACCCTTGCCCTTTTTGGTAATATCCTCCAACAAGCGTATGCCATGTATTTGATGTTCTGTTCCAATAAGAGAAAGGATGGTTTCCCCAAGGGACATGATTGGTTGTTTCCCATTCCATTCTTGAGTAAGGCAACGGATGAAATCTATACGAGGACAATGCTTCAGTAGAAAGACATAATCCTCTGAAATCAAACAGCACAGGTGTTAGAAAGCCTGACAAGAAAAAAATTACCCAAATATATTTATATTTGCAGCTTGAAAAGCATGTCTGTCATTTTTATTTTCCAGCATAAAATGAGCAGAAGTGTACACCTTTGAAAACTCAATACTGTATGGAATTAATGCATTTTTATGTATATAACCTCAGAGCTCTTTTTCATTTAATCCTTACTTCAAATGATTAACAAAAGAACAATGAAATAAACAGCATTTTCTACCTCTCAACTGGGCTTCTGTGATGCGTATTTGTATGTGAATAATATCAAAATGGAAGGCATGATTAAATGATAAATGTCCCACTACTTTTTGTTCTATACCACATGGATGTAAAAATAGGTAGAACTTTGATAGTTCTGGTTGGTGTTGACCATGACACAGACATCCCTGATCTCAACATTGATTTGGGAATGACTGAGAAATACAGTGCTTTGTTCAGCACACAGCTTCTTGATTGAATTAGTTAATTCCTGGAGGACAGGTTCATTAACAAGGTCAGCCATGACAAGATGGATCTGCAATAAAATGTTTCATTCTTCAAAAATGAATTCTGGTGAAATACGCTGAGGACAGTCTTTTTATCATTTTAGGGAGGGCTGGCACTGTTATAAGCATGCTAAAATTTGCTGTTGAGGAAATGGCCATATATTAAAAACCATAGTAGTCACTTCATACCTGCTCAACTTATTCAATGTTAAATGGATTGTTTGAAGGGAAAACAATCCTCAACTGAATGGGACCAAATATGTGCAGGGTGGAAGAGTGGGGGGTGAAACCAGAGAAAGAAAGATCAAATCGGGGTAGCAGAGAAAACAATTCCCATACTACCCCTATAAGAAAGGCAATTGGGCAACATTTCAAAATACTGCATACTCCCAGAGTATGCAGCATATGCAGCCTCTCCTATGCTTCCCAATGCACATATACATGCATAGATACATATGCATCATAGGGTGAGAACAGAAACGTACACATATTCACATACAGAGGCAAAACATTTGCATCAAATTAGATTTATTGATTCCCTCCTTTTCTCACATACACATACTATAAGCAAATGCATAAATACATCGTGATAGTACTGAGAGCCACTTGAACATCATTATAACACTATCAGATATAATTTAAAATAAATACAACGTAGCTCTGAAATTTACCTGTGGAAAGAAGTTGGAAATGATGTAGATAATCCATGGCTCCATAAATCTGGCCCTGTCTGCACAAGCACAGAACAGCTTTTTTGTGCGCCCCACACTCACTGTATGCAATTTGAGCCAAAGCTAGACACTGGGACATGTTGTGTATATCCACATCTGCATACTTATAGATTGCATCACCAGCAGCCTCAGAGAATTCCAATCTGGGAGAAACAAAGCAAACAAAACATAATTAGGTAATTTACAAATTCTGGGCATTGTAAAGAAAAGTGGAATAAGGATGATGATGACAATGCCTTATTCTTTTAGTAGAATAACATAAAATCAAAGAGTTATGATAAATAAGAGAAAAAGATACGGGAAAAAGAAAACAAGTATATTTGAAGAATTCACAACACAATATTTTGTCCTCATACATTTCTCCTTTTGGAAAATAGGGTATACTTTAGCAAAGCCCAGCTTTTTACAGCTTAAAAGTTTCTCCTTCTCTATAAAGACCTTCTTTTACTCCATATAAAGTGAGTAAGATCTGAATATGCACCAGATTTATTTATCCATCAGGACTAGAAATGAGAGAAGTGGCATGCTTTATATCTGTCCCTAATTTAATAAACCTCATTGGAGTGCACTTATAGACTTGTTAGATGTCGCAGAGGAAATCATGAGCCCCAATAGATTTTCCTGAAAGGTGATACATCTTTCCCATTCAGCTGGTGATTTTTTGCCTCTTAAACAGACCCTGTATTCCCTGTGCTTTTCAGAGATTTCAACTGCATCTGGAATTTGCAGACTGAGCTACAGGTTGGATATCTCCATAACCTGGCCTGGAAGAGGAGCTCATCCCATGTTTCAGAGCCCACAGTCCCCAACAGCAATCCCAAAGCCAAAGGCAACTAGGATATAGGGATGAAAGACAGCCCATGAATGAGAAGGTGATCTGACTGATTTCTCTTTGGTGCTCACTGCCATCTCTGTTATTGCCCTTGTTTCAATAAACCATTGCTGCTTCTACCAGAAATGGAAAAACTGGCTACTCTGCCATGTTCACCAAGGTGTCACAGCTGCATGTGGAATTGTAGGTATCTTTTAAAGATCTCTTTCATGCACTCTTTTCAGTACCATGGTGCTTTTGTTCCTAGAGCTTCATAAGACCTTGCTGAGAAATCTGGTTCATCCTTTCTGCACTGCATGTTGAGCTATTTGTGCATTTCCATTGTGTAAAGCTTGGAATATCCAAGGATAGAATAGTCTCCTTGTGTCTAGAAACTTCTGGAGATGGAATATGTTGAAGTTCCACTTCAGATGCTATTTTAAAAATGGAGGATGAGCTGTAAACAATAAACCTCATTCTCTTTAATACAGTGGATGCTTTCCCCTATAGTCTTTCTGAAAGAAACTGTCACTGGGCTAGCTGGTTTTGTCTATAATTTTTGCCCCAATGAAACTTGCATATAACAGATGTTCTATTCTTGCTG